GGATCATCACAAATAATGTGATGTGTGATAGACCTTAAAGCAGGGGTGCCCAAACATTTTCCCTGAGAGGGCCAACATTTAAATCAACCTGAGGACTGCGGGCCAAATGCAATAATATAAGAAATGCAAATACTTAAAGTTGTTTTATTTGTCATGATTAAGCTAGCAGCCATTTTGGTTGCCTACATTCTTTAGTTTTTTCAGCCCGTGGACAAAGGGGAAAATTTAACGTATGCTCAGGCAGCAAAGGTTCATGGGACTTTTCAAAATTTAAAATTTGAGTATATGGGGTCTTATAAGGTGTACAAATCTAGATATGGGCTTAAATCTAATCTAAATGTCTTTGTTACTTGTATTTTATATTTAATCTTAACATAATTACAATCTAGTAACCAGGACAACTGCTGGTGGGCAAAATAAAATGGCTTTGTGGGCCAATTTTGGCCCGCGGGCCCCACTTTGGGCTCCTCTGTCTTAAAGTATGTGTTGTAAATCACAGTTGGATATCTGTGGAATTAGTTTGTCTTATTTTTATTTTCCCTACAGTTAATAGCAGTGATGGGCACAGTTCCCCTAAAGCACTAATAGGGGAACTAATTTCCTGATTAGTGCTTTAGGGCTTTTGCTAATTTTAAAATTTATTAGTGGATTAGCACTTGCTGAATCTATAGGCTAAATTTAGAAGCACAAACTGAGGTCTATAAATGTTATTGATCAACATTATTAACAGCTGATGGTGAAAGCTGTTGCACATTTTGTTCATATGTGTGTCCATGTTGTCTGTTAAAGAATGTTCATGTGTTGATTGGATTATTTTAGTACTTTAGAATTAGCTTTTACTAAAACCTTCAGTGTTAGTGCTTTAGAATTAGAGGACCTAAATATTTGAGTTAGTGCTTTAGGGCTAGCAGAACTAATTTTTAGATTAGTGCTGCCCACCACTGGTTACTTGTCTGTGGAGGCCATCTTGAAATTTTCACTTTTCCTATAAAATTATTAAAGATTTTTGATGATGAGCTGTTGAGTTTCCTTGCTGGATAAATACATGAATTTACAGATTAAATGAGCAGAATATAAAGAAAATAGCCGTTTTTAGTCTCTATTTTCCTTGCCTTGGGTAATAACAGCTCAGATGTGCATTGAAACGGTTCTGACTTCTATTTTTATGTCTGAATGCTTTCACAGGTCTTTAACAAAAATAATAATAATAATAATAATTATGTAGGTCCTCTGGACGGGTTCTTTAATGAAATGTTTCGTCTCCTCCAAGAGACTTCTTCAGTCTGAGGAGTTTCAGGTCTAATATTTTTCAGTTCTCACAGACTCTCTGCAGTGTCTTGGTTAAATCGAATCACATTTTGCATCTAAAAGTTTCAGAAGTCTCTTTCTGCAGATGATCGTATTTTACATGATGAAAAGTTTGGTTTGTTTCTTACCTCCCTCAGCTGCAGTTCCTCCTCTTCATCTTTCAGCACAGAAGGCAGCAGCACCTCAAACTTCTTATCAACCATGACTTTATTACGGATCATTTGGCAAAACGTTTTACAAAAAGATATATTTCTGATTTGTGGAAGTTTTCTGTTCTTACTTTTAGCAAAGCAGTGAAACTGGTCCAAAGAGAAATGACACTGAGCGGGGTTTAGTAGAACCAGGTACAGGTTTGTGCTCAGGTTCAGTCCTTCAGGGTCAGCGCCAGTCGGAGTACTTGTGTAAAATTTGGACAGCTTGTTTTGTTGACAGGTTTCCATGGGGCCAGGTAATAATTCTTATCCTAAGAATGCTCTCAGCTCTCTGAGCCATGACAACAGGGGGAGAAGTAATGGCTTCAAAAACTTTAAACTCAAACTAAATAAAGCAGATTTTTCTTCTTAAGCAAACTTTCCAGTTGAGCTTCTAACTTATCCAAAGAAGAAACCAAACAAACCCAAGCAAATGTGTTGACAGATTCTGCAAATGTTTCTCTTTATTTGTCAGTAAATGCAAAGTCCTCGCAGTTGATGCAACAAAATGGAGTTTTTTTCTCAATCAAGTGCACAACAAAAAGGTCATTATAGCAGAGGCTGATTGGATCAAGAGTTGTTCAGAGCAGCAGCGATGCACAAACACAGAAAGAAACCCACAAAAAAAAACCATTGTCTCTAGCCAAACAACTCTAAAGCACTGCCTCACCGACTGAAACACAGTGCTGGAAAACGCACAGAGTGTTTTTTAATATCCCCAAACAGGAAACAGAAGATCACCATGCATTTCTTTAATGCCGCTGTTTTGCCCTCATACCTAAAGGATATGAGAGACAATATACAGAAGCATGTTTTTCTATTTATTTTTTATCATTTTTGGAATCAAGCATCATTTACATAAAATACATTCTTAGAAAATATTTTAGCGATTCTCTGTAGTTTATATTTGATCTTGTTCCCTTATTTTTTTAACTCCTCATTTCATTTGAAACCAAAACTATTTATAAATATAAACAAAAAAAAGAAGTGACATTCATAAAAAGAAAAAGTGGTAATGGATCGGTTACCCCTGCCCCATCAACATAGATGAACATATTTCCAGACAAAACCCATATTAATACGTTTTAAATCATGCATTTTTTTTATTTGAATGAAAACACAAAAAAGAACAAACAAGACTCAGAAGCTGACAAGAAAAAGCCACATGATGCAGAATGAGAAACTTAAAAACAAACCAAAAAACAAACAAACACCATATTTACAATTTACAACCTTAACTGACAAGGAAGCAGCAAACGTCTGCAGTTAAGTCTCGTTTCTCTAAAACAACAGGGGTGAAGTGATGAGATCATTACTAAAGCCATGTGGGCAGTTTCCCCTGACCAAAAAACCCACCTGCAACACCAAGTTTGCAGGTCTGTGTGATCCAGTAACAAATCCATGCTTGTTTTTTATTCTTACCAGGTAAAAGACAGCACACAGAATGAACAAAACATACCTGAGATCATGCTTGTTTACACCCACTCATATATAGACGTGCACTCTGAGGATGGTTTCTTGTGCAGACACACACAAACACACACACATGTGCTGATGCCACTGGGCAGTTTACAGTGAAAAAAAAGTGTTTAAGCCACAAGGTAGCACAACTCATGCACACAGGCAGAGAGGATTTCTGTACCAAATGTTGGCAAAGAGTTAATGTAAGGCAAGAGGCAGATGAGTTCAGACGCCGCAAATCGTAAAAGTTGGTGATGAATGTACAAGTTCAAGCTGTCGGATGTGATCGTTTGCTTCCCTTAATGCTTTTCCTGTGAGATGTCTTTCATTTCTAAGGGAAACTACTTACTGACTTGCTGAAAATAGAGGAGGAAATAAAAATGCTGCAGCCAGGACAGAAATGGTAAAATGACTGAAAGAATGGAAGTGGATCTGCGGAAAAGCTGGGAAATACTTCTGAAAGGTACTTTTAAAGCTAAGTGTGTTGTTTATCTATTCTGTAAATGTGACCCATCACATCGAAACGAGGATTAAAGTTTAAAGTGGTGTAAGAAAATTAAGTGTTCGTTAACTGAAATCGAGAAGAAACCACATAAATGTTGAAAAGATTAAAATGCGAAGAGGTGAGGACCATATGACACCAGTGACTGCAGTGAATGGAGGTTTAATGCTGATCCGTCAGTCATGAAACCCACGCTGTCAAGAAACCGGAAGTCCCGGCTATAAGTACATGGTCTTCAGTGCCTGGTACGCCTACTACAGGCCTACGGCTGAATCGCTGGCAACTCGTACAGAAAATATCTCTCCTAATGGGTTTATAACGGTATTTCTATGTGTTGTCATGATGTTTTGGGCATGTACCTAAACCTATTTTAATCAGGACATTACAATAGTCAAACAATAGATTATAAATGTCCAGCCTTAAAAAGGAAACTAAGACAAATGGTGTGGTGCTCTAAATCAGTCTCTAACTAATAAATTCCTTCAGTGGTATATGGAGAAATAGGCAAATATAGTGCTTTGATTAAAAAACACAAAAATTGCATTTCATCAAAATATAACGTGTCTTATTTGAATGAACTATGTGAAATATAATCATAAAAAAAATCTGAAGCACGTTTTTGAGCAGTAGCAAAAAAAACTGATTTTGAGGAAAAACACCTTTTTAAATTTTGAGATTTTCTCTGTGAGCTAGCAAAGTTTTTGTTTCTTTCCAGCTGGGAAACATCAATATTCAAAAACTATTTGAGATGTCCTCTTCACAATGAAATGAAAAAAAAATCCTCATAAAAATGACATAAAATTAGGATTCAGACCAAATATTAATGTATTATCATAACCAACAAGACAAATTAAGTCATATGTATGGTTCTGTTTATGATATCAGAATGATCCAGGTATAAAAATGTAGCTTTTAAAGCCAAGAATCTAAAAATGTGGAGGTCATTTTGACCAAATTTGACTTAATCCTCATTTCGATATGATGGGTCACAAATAAAATGTAAAAAATAAACAAGTGTTTATTATGTAGCTAAAAGGTTTGGTGTCTCCATCACTTCTTGGTGTCGACGTAATTTTCCATAAAGCAACTAGTTTACTTTATGTAATTACTTTTTAGTGTCAACATAAAATGTGTTAGATTTTTAAAGAGTTACAATTGGATAAAGCCAGGTAGGTTGGTTCCAATTTCAGCCAATTTTAGATTTAATACATTTTAAATACTTAACTTAAACACCTGTTTCTGCAGGATTGTCTCAACTTTAAAATAACTATTGTAAAGTGGCCAACTGTTATTTTATAATTTATTTTTTGTTTTGAAAAACATGAACTTACTATACCTTTGATGCCTAAACCTAAACAGGAAGTTGTGTTGCTAGAATTAAAGGAAGTATTTTTGATCATTAAAGCTAACACAGCAATTAAAGATAATTTAGAAAATAAAAAGTGGAAAGGCAAAAATACAGCCTATACTCTTTACATCAACCAATATAATATACTATACTTTTGGGGAACCTTGTTTTGTTTGTTAAAATGCTCTGACCTCAAAGGTCTATGACCGTTAGCATTTTTCTGCTTCTGCTGCATATAAAACAAACTAGCAAAACATAAATCTGCCACATTTCTACAGTGACAGAAAAAAATGCAGCAGTGAAAGTTTGAAGACATTTAGTGCAACGCTTAAATTTTTTTTGACAATTTTCAATTTACTACCGATTCAATCAGATAAGATTCCCCTGTAAAACATCGTCCCTCGACCAATACTACTGTATATAATTTGACAAAACATTGTACCACACCATACTGATACTTAGATGCGCCGAGATTTATTTATTTATTTATTTTTACTGATATAAACGTATTTAAGGACTCACCAGTGGAGAGACGGGAGTTTATGATGTTATAACAGAACCAACGGGCCACTAAAGAGCACTTGCACCGAGGCTGATGGCGAGCTAGATAATGTGTTTATTCAGGCTGTGACAAAACTGTTATTTTCACAATTTGAGGTGACTTGACACGCTAAATTTGTTTGCAAAACAGTTTTTTTCCTTGTCTGCATGCCTGTACATTTTTCTATTCCCCAGTTTTGCCTGGAACTGCAACCGCCTTTAATTACAAAAACCAAATGCATTTTACTGGTCGCCGTACTGTACGCTCCCAACAAGTAAAGTTGACCCATTATTACAGAAATGTCAGTTTGTTATCAATGCCACACATTTCCTTGCAAATATATACCTCAATAAAGCCTTTTAACTGTAACAGTAACACAGAGTATATAATATTTTTTTGATTATAGTCTTGTTTTTGTCATGCATTCACAATGAGGCAGGTCATTACACTAGGTGCACACATTATGAATCATCAAGATCAATTTGTCAATTTTGGAAGAATCCATTGACAAGCAAAACAAAATCAGAACAAAACATTTCCAACTTGCTACAGACAAAGTTGCAGAGCCCAACAAAAAACAATAAAGTTGTATAAAAAAGAAACTCATTTAGTTTTTTTTTTACAGTACAAAAATTGGCACAGTATTCTTTAATCCTTCAGATCGGTTGTTTTCAGAAAGCCCTCGATTCGTCAACCTACGAGCAGAAAACCCTGAAAGGAAAGACAAATGGAGGCACAAAAAGACAGACGGACACAGAAAAACAGAGACATAAAAACAGAGATGTTACAGTCATTACTCATCCAACGAGCAGGAGCTTTGATGACCGAAATGTGAAATTCAAGTGACAATCGACACAGGAAGCATCATCTGCGATGCATTATGTTTGTCTCTAATGAGCTACAGTGGCTGTGCAGGGCTCTTGTTTCGCTCTCACGGCAAGGGTATATGAAGTGTATAATCTTCAATGTGCACAAATAACATCAGAAACAAAAACAGAAATGGAACGGAGCCATTCGCTTTCACTCTAATCCTGTTAGTTTAGAGGCCTTGCTCTCCGCTGGTTTCCATGGTTTCCCACTCTGTTTTCATCTGAGAGTGGAGGAGATAACACTCTTGTTGCCAAACAACTACAAGTTGCTGAAGCAGACGTGCAAATTTGTAAGAATATATTTGACCTGTTTGTTTTTGTTAAGAAATTTAGTTTGGTTCCTAAAACTATCTAACAGCTAACTGATGTTAGCATCAGCTAAGCTGTAATCATCTAATATCTCCGTTTTTTTTTAGGCAAGTACCCCCCAGCTGCGGTCCGCAGATCGGGGCAGGCTTGGACAGTAGGCGGGGTCAGACGTACAATGGGCGTGGTCACGGCTTGTCGGAACGTCTTAATATGAGGCTTCAAACATTGGGAGTGGTTAATTTTAGGATTTAGCATCTGGGGTTGGTTAATTTTAGAGTTGAGGGCGGGGTCAGACGTCCGACACCGCCTATTATCCGACCCCGCCCCTTTCTGCAGTCTACAGCTGGAAGTTACTCTTTTTTTGGGGGCGTGTTCTTTTTACTTCAATGTTTTAGTTGCTCTAACTTAACACGTTCACAGAGGTAGCAATATAAAGTACTTGAAAAACAATGACTAAAAGTAAAATTACATGAAAAGAAAACGACTTTGGTAAAAATAAATTTCACTGATGGGAAAACTACTCAAGTAAAAGACCCAAAAATCGGGAAAGTAAAAGTACTTTTACACACTCTCTAAAAAATAAACTGAATTTACTGAACCAAACTGGTTCCACTAAGCCAGGTTGAGTAAACTGAGTGATGTGTGTAAATTATTTGCTCAATTTACTCGACTAACCTTAGTGGAACCAGTTGACATGACTTCATTGAGTAAAATCAACACTTCATTTTTTTAGAGTGCATAAACATCTTTCATGATGAGTTCGAACATATTTAATTTTGTAACAAGTAAGTAGGTGTTACATTTTAAAGTAAACAAGTATCATTTTAGCTTTAAAATGTAACAAAATAAAATTAAAAGTAGCTATTTAAAATAGAAAATATACTTGGTTACTATAAACCTCTGCACGTTCGTAATATTGACCAAATTTTGGGAAGAAAACTTAGCATAACTTTCAGTTACCCAGGGTTGGCTTGGTCCACATTTAATTGGGTTGATTTTGACCGACCAATTTTTAAGTGTAAAAAGCTGGAAAAACTGATAAAATGTTTGACGCTATAGCACATATGATCTCCTAAATATATATACAGAATTTAATTTCACTTTTTGATATTATTTGGCACCTGAGATTTTGAAATATAATGTTGGAGGCAACAGCTCCCACACATAGCTTTATATATATGGATTCATCCTTTCGCTTCCACTTAAATTACCTTTGGTTTATTTAAAATTAGAACTATAAAAGCTGTACCTTTGTGTGGCTAATCAATGTTTGACGAGTATGTCAAACATATGAGGGAAAGCCAACTTTGATAAAACATTTTCTTTAAACCCAGCTAATTTAAAAAGTAATAAATGCCACTTTCTCAGTATGCTTAGCCATCTCGTCAGAAAACATTTACCTTTCAGATCGTTTATTTTTTGTCTTTTTCTTTACCAAAATAAACACACTTACTCATCAGAGTCTTTTTTGTTCTCCTCAATGTAGGCGATGGATTCGGAGCGTATCCGATTGGTGACCTCATAGGTGCGCAAAGTGACACCAAAGATATCCTCATGGTAGCGGTTCTCATCCTGGTAAAAATGGAGCGAAGACAGTAGAATAAAAGAATGCCAAGAGTGATAAACTGTTGGAAATGTAACAGATTAATTAATCTTTTTTCATTCTTCAACAAGAGTTAAAATTTTCCAAGTGCTTGTGATAATGTTTGTCTCTGCAAGCTGCTTATTGCCTCTCACAATTGATTCTTACTTGTCACTTTTATTAGTTTTTAAAGGGGCAATATCATGTAAAATCAACTTTTTTGAGTTTTATATCATGTTATAATGTTACACTCTCATAAAAAACATGCCCAAAGCCTTGCTTTGACTCATTCATGCATGTTTGAGAAATCCTGCAGCGTTTTTAGGAAGCCATGCTGAGGAGCAAAACGACAGGTGGGGACCAGAAACACCTCTGGGTTGTGTCCTTTTAGGACAATCTCCTCCTCTGGGATGTGTCTTTAAGCCGGACTTCCGCATGGCAGAGACCTCACCCCGCCCATGACTCCTGCAGGCTCTCGGCAGTAACAAAGCAAACAACGGGTGAAACTGAAAGTGAAACTGAAACTGTCTGCTGAGCTCCTAACACTACTTCTCACTCAGTAAAGCTCTTTTCAGATTCAAAACACCTTTGAGGAAATGTATTTTCAGATGCCAAGTAAACTGCATCATAGCGTGTGCGCACCCCCCTCCCCCTCGCACACTGAAATGGGCGGGACAGAAGCAGAAGGTGGTTCTTAAAGAGACCGAGGCCAACTTCAAGGCGTTTAGAAGAGGAAGTGATGAGAAGATAAGTTTATTTTCTATTTAAACATAAAAACAGCATTTTAATAACAGCTAAAGGTGACATAGATACTTTATTATGGTATAGTATTTAAATATATGCCTGAGAAACACATAATATTGCCCCTTTTAATTATAAAAATCACTTTTCACCAAGTAGTTTCACTGTATTTTGTAATTCTTAAAAAAAGAAATATCCACAGTAAGACCACACAAATCCCAAGATGCCTAATGCTAAAACTGACGATCCCAGACGAAACAAAAAGTTTTATTTCTTACTCGAAGTTTGCTGACGTAGAAGCCAGCGTCCTCCAGAGTCATGTTGCCCTGCTGCTTGACGATCTGCTGCACAGTTTTCAGAACGTCTCCGGCCATCGTAACGTCCCCGCACACGTAGATGTGTCCGCCCTCCTTCCTCAGACACTGGTACACCTTCTCTGACAGGTGCTCGCGCATAATATCTTGAACGTATTTCTAACATGAGGAAGTAAAGAAATGTTCAGTGTGCATGAAGACAAGAAATTAGTAGTCCCAAGAATATTATTTATTATTTGGTTTGATGCTGTTATCCAAAGGGAGTTCTGACAAGTTGTTTAATTCACAGATGTGGAGTTTGATAGTTATACCTTTGGTTTTCCAGGTTCTCTGGAAAAAGCCGCATAGAGCTCAGAAAACACATCTTTGTTCCTGGCCTGGACAGTCTCCTCCTTGTATATGTGGTCCATCTCAGACTGCCGACAGCCGAACACCAGAATCATGGGGCACGACTTGATCCCTTAAATATGACAAGTGGGGTTAATTTTCTGTCTGCATGTTTGTGATTTACGATTAGATGCAAATCTTTTGAAGTTTGACGAGTTAGTCCACTGTAGGATTTTGTTACTTATGTATAAAGCCCATAAAAATGTACTGCCCTTTAACATACAATCACTTTTTTGTAAAAAGAGATGGCGTATATAATCTGAAAGGAATTGAAATGTTTATTAAACCAAAAAATTAGAACAAATTTTAAGGAGAGATGCACTTCCTTCCAGGGAATCGAATTGTGGAACAATCTGGGAAACGTTTTCAAAAATGCCAATACGATTTATACATTTGCTAGATTGATAAAAACT